GCCTTGGGTAATGCCTGATCTCGTTTTGTGTCTCCTGGGTGAGAAGATGCCAACTTGCATGTGTCCTCGACCTCGTCCCACAGGGCTGAGTACCCATTTGCCTTGCTCCGTGTACAGGGCCAGTGCCGTATGGCATCCGAGCATCTCACTTCTTCCATTTTATGGCAAGCTTGGATGTCTAAAATCTTAAATCTAAGATCTTAGCAGGTGCTGTGCAAGCACAGGCAGCCCCTGAGTGTTTTTAATCTCATCCGAATTTTGGGTGTCTGACGTAGAACACACAAATTGCTCTTTGGAGGTGCTTTCTTGTGGTTAGCTGCAGATGATTGACTAGGTGAGGCAAATCCCACCTGAGGTGGGTAGAGTTGATGGGCGTCGTTTCTTGTAGTGCTGTTTCATGGGGATTTGCTGTGCTGGAAGACCCCAAGGTGAGGTAGGACAATGGGGTCAGGACCTAGTCTAGTATCCCCTGTGTCCTACCAAGGCTTTTGCTCCATCTGCTCAGGCCCTGTTTTACCTGATGTAAAGCTATTCGGTCAGGTGGAGTGCATTTGCGGGGACATAAAAAAATGACGTGTTCTGGAAGTAAGATGGAAGACAACTGGAGGGACTGTCTCGGCTCCAGGGTTGGGGCAAGGCAGGTCAGGTCTCAGCACGGTCCTGCTCTGCTCCTGAAAGCCTCATCGCCTGCTGCAGTCTCCTAATTGTTCAGGCATGAGGATCTGCTGTCAGTTTTTTCAGATAGTTTCCTCAATCGCTTTGCAGTGGATTTTTCACTCATGGTCTTGCAAAAGGGTTGAAGGTGGTAAAGGCACAGGAAATTGCACATGGTCGCGCCTGGCCTTGAGGGGACTGGGTGAAATCAGCAGATGCATTCACTAGGGAAGTCTGCTGGGGCCACCACATGTTCAGCTTCCCTCTGACTTGGCTGGAAAAAGAAACGTGGATTCCTTTTATCCAACATATCTAGGGTCGAGCTCTGGAAATGCAGTGAGCCCTGGAGATGCCCGTGGACTCACCCTGACACCGGCCACATCCCTGGTAGGGGCTCTTCACCAGGGATGTGGGATCATGCCGGCAGCCCTCACTCCAGCCCTGCTGTGCTCCTCAGGTGCCTCCTTGCTGAGAGGTGGGACCACGCCAGTTCAGTGGACGTCGCTGAATATTGGAGGCACGGGACAGATTTTTGGGAAAGGAGTGGGCTTTGCACTTCACCACCACTCAGGGCTCAGCAGTACCTTGGCACAAGAGCTGCACTGACCAGGCAGGAGGTTTCAAGGATGTAGCATCGTTTTGCATCCTCTGTTCCAGTAGCCTGCCTTTTTATGTCAATCCCGATTAACCAAGCATACACTGGAGGGAGACAGTAAGTTTTTCAGGATTATTCCTCTCAGGGAGAGCTGTGGGGGTGCTGGATTTGTGTGCATGGGTAAGGGACCTTTCCTTACGGGGGCTTACTCCAAAGGAAGGAGAATGAGGGTGGAGTCGACAGGGGATGAGAAATGTAAGATGGTGCAAGAAAGCCATCGCTGGCACTTTATACAAAGAGCCAATATTGATAGAGATGACAAGGCAGCGTGTTTGAGATAATGGTGTGGCTGAGACTGACAACCGTGGGAAGAGGCAAATAAAAGAGATTCTTTTTAATATTGGCTGGCTTTTTCCGCCTGTGAATTAAGAGTCTGGATCTGAATTAAAAACCCAGGGAATGGGAAAGCTGCGTGGGGGAAGAATCATATTGGTTTGAACCACCACTGTGCAGAAACAAAGAACAAGGGATCTGAAACTAGGGAATTTCCCCCCTCCCTGCTCTTTCAAATTCATTTCATAATATTTTCCTTTGTGTCCCTGCCTAGCGTAGTGTCACCTTGAGTTTCTTTTGCTGTTGTTTCCCATCCCCTGGTTTACAGGCTGGCAACGTGGCTTGTGGTCCTTAATTTGGTTTCCAGTGGACACACGTTTCTTTAGACTGGCAGAAATCAGGGTACAGTGGTGTGTGCTGCTTGTTTAATGTTGATGGTTGCAGGCCAGTCAGCGTGCTACTGTTAACAGTATGGCTGGGGACTCTGTTTGAAGTGTTAATTAGCAGCAATTAATATGAAGTGAAAAATTAATACCCTGTGTCAGCTTTCTCGGCTAGTTAGTTATATCAACACCAAGGCTCAGAGCTATCCTGAAGCTTATGTTTGCACAGGAGTTGGGTCTTGTCCCATAGTATTGGGAAAACACTTAAATGCTCTCTTACCATAAATGGTAAACTAGTTATTCCCAAAATAAGAAGATAAGCTATGGCCTCTGACAGATCCAGTTTTCTTGGGATGTAGATACTCTTGATGTGACATTAAAAAAAAAAATTGTCCATAGCTTAAGCAAAACAAACAAAACCCCCCTCCTTAAAATAGAATTAAACAAACAAAAATGTTGATGACATCATAGTTGAATCTGGCTAAGAGATTCTGCATTGTCCCATTTTAATCAAAGTGGGCTCAAGCCCAGCCCCAGTTGTGGTCATGGAGGATGGATCTCTGTGGATCTCTCTGCAATTTCTGTGTTGCAAAGACCCCAGGAAGTTTCCTGATGTTTTCCCCATCCAATTTCTATTTCTGATGGGGAAATTCCCTGACTCAGGGGAATGAGCCTTTCACATGGGTCTGGTGTCAGATTTGGGGCTTGACTACATAAGAAACATCAGGTATTGTTGTTGTCTGATTGGACACCTTCAGCTTTTTATCAGCTCATAACTTTTTCTTATCAACATCACAGGAATGTTACAAGATTTAGCTACGCTACCAGGTAGCTTATCTTTCTTCTTGGTATTTATATCGTTAACCTGAGTTCTGTTGGAGAGGATTGATTTGTTGTGTTTAAATTGATTGGTTTCTCTGTCTTTTGGAATTTTTTTTTTAATAGACCAAAATTACCTTCCATCACTGTCTGGTGCTGGACAGAAATGAAAACAGCTGAATCCACCCAAGGTTGGGCTTCTGCTGACACCTCCCCTCCTCTCACATTTAACAAGCTTGATGTAAAATCCTCATACTTAACCAATTTATTATTAATGATATTTATGGAAGTATTCTCTACTGAAGGAGAAGTGGTTTTTGACTTTCAGTAGGCTGATTGCTTTTAGTTTCATAGTTAATTGAAACTTAATATACACTGGGGACAAGTGATATATATGTTCTGAAGTTAGCTGCACTCAAAATACTCATGGTATGTAATACACTTAATTCATTAGCAAGACTCGTGTCAACAAAGAATAAAGATGAAATGCTGTAGTGGCCATCGCAGTGGGGAAGTGATCATTATTATTTATGGAGTGCTCAAAGTATACTAAGCACTTTGCAAAGAGTTCAACAAGCATATTGCTCTCAATTGGTTTACAGTCTCCTTTAAAAAAAACCCCAAAACCAATTTCCTTTCATTAGCACGTTCCTTTGGAGTGGGGAACACAAATTGCTGAGGACGGTCTAACTTTGCCCGAACAACCTTCAGCTGGGGGTTGTATCGCCGGCCGTTGTCATTTGCTTCTACCAGTGATGCTTTGTGAAACACCCGTTGTTTAAACATACTTTAAAAACTGGGAATAAAAATCTATGACAGAGCTCTCTCCCTCCTTCCATTTTATAACCACCATCTCTGGTCTTCCTGAATAGTAAAAGTTGAAAAAATCCCATAGTATTTTTACAATGTTATTACCTCCTGCTTTGCCTGGCCTCTAACAGTAAACTTTTTTCCTACTTTTAGCCATGCTTCTTGCAGAGCATTTGGTGTTGCTGCTACCAGCATAGTCCTCTCTGTCATGCAGGTCTTGGAGGCATCCAGTAATAAGTGGGACCAGTCCTTCACATCGTATATTCTGGACACACACCTTCATTACTGTCTGTCTTTGCTTTAGCATGCCTTGTGTGAATAGCTGGTTCCCTCTGTGCCCATAACCTGAGCTCTTGGTTTCTCTTTTTCGGTCCTCCTTTGACACCTCATAATTCATCACCATCTCAGAGTTTTACTGAAAAGCTCACTTTGGAGCTCCCTTTAATCTATTCCTAAAGGTGTACCTTTGGATATTGCTTGTCTGGTGGCTTAGTGTATCTAGAAATACAGTTATCATTTAGTCTTGTGTCTGATTCAAGATCTAGTCAGTCTATATTCCCTTTCTCATATAATTTTTCATCTCTGCGTATTTTTATTCCACTTTGTATTTACTGTAGTCATTCCTTCTAGAAGAATCTCCTCTACCAATGTAACCCAGTCTATACATGAGTTAATATTTGCTACCCTGCATGGTACTAACTGGTATAGTTACCTTAGGTCAGACTTCATTGAAAAACAGTTGCAGCCAGCACTGTTTCCTATCTGCATGCTGAACTTTATTTTCTAGAGTTATTCCAGTCCATCCCAAGTATTGCACCTTCACTGTTTCCTCTGTTTCACTATCACAAATATTCCCCTTCAGAGGTTTGAATATTTATGGAGTGAGAGATAGCTCACACAATGTTAGCCATCAGAAAGTTGGATGCCAAGAACTGGATTTGTTGGAGGATAGTTGAGTTGGCCTTTCTTATTGGGTGCCGTATTTTGGCATGGGTTGTGACACCTTATGGGATGGTTCTTCCCTCTCTGTTGGTGATGCAGGGAGCTGGACTGAACTTTAAGATGTGATGCCTTTGTGTTCAATACTGTGGATGTTGTTTATTACCCCATTATCTTGTATGTTGATATTATTGGTGTTATTGCTGCTTTGATATTACTGCCACTGAGGGCATATGTCCTTTGTTGTGGTTCCTCATCCAACTCTAGCTTCACCTTGGAGGAGAAAGCGGGATTAAAGGGTTACAATCAACATGGGGTAATTTGGAAGCCATTAGAAAAGGCTGAGGGAATGGGTTGGTGTAGGCAAAACAAATAGCTCATTGTTTTTTTCTTTTAATTTTAGCTGCTCTTCTAGGTACTCCTAGAAGTAGGATGAATTAGGAAGGCAAGGCCTTTTCCTCTGAACCATGGAGACAAGAGCGTCTTTCATCGCTGCCATGCAAGACACCCAGCATCTCTCCCCAGAGAAGGGTCAGAGCCCGGCCAACGGCAGCATGGAGCAGTTTGATTCAGGTGAGCTCTCATTCACCCCCATGGGTTGTCTTCACTGATACAGCCCTCCAACCGATCACCTTCTTCAAGGCGCAGTATGCAGCAGCCATTCAAAATTTAAACAATTTAAGCAATGGAAAAGCTCTCACAGGAAATTATATTGTGTTTCTATTTCCCCACCCTTATTTCCTCCAGATTTTTTTTTGAGTGATTGAGGTGAGAGGGCTTCACAAACATTATTCCAGCCCATGGAGAGCTGGTCACATGTTGTCCTTGTGCTTATGGGTATGAGTGGATGCTATGTAATGCTCTGGGACAGGCACCTAAAGGCAAAGGTTCACTGCGCTTTGTTTGGCCTTGTCATAGAAGATACAGAAAAATAACTACTAGCTTCTGGTGCTTTCTCCTGGAATTAGGTGCTTTAACTTCCCAATCTAGCCTTAACAGGAGGAGACTGTCTCTTATGGTGAAGTTGCATATTATAGCTAGACCCCATCTACTTTCTGATGCTAAAATGGGAGACCCCCTTTTATACCATTCCTGAGCCCATCACACCTTGGGCTGAGTCAATCAGCTTGCTAAACCAGAAGAAATGTAATATAGAAAAAAAGTCAGTAATTTTCTGCCAGTTTTGTGAGTTAAACTGGATGGAGGAAGAGGGAGGGCCAGAGCACATGCTGGGAGGAATGGGACCCCTCCCAGTGGCACTGACAGCACTTTGGCTCAGCTAGAACATGTAACTTCATTCTTGCTCTGTGTTTGCATGGGAGAGCTCAGCTGGTGAAGTTGTGGAGAACAACACTGAGCTATGACTCCGTTAATCTGTGCAAAAGGGTTTGTGTTTTGCATTGGGGTACTTGAGTTGGTGCTTGTATGCTTGAATGCTTTTCCAGAACTCACATTTCTGTAAGAGCTATTCTTGACAAAAGGATCCTAAGATGTAAATGGCAGATGAACATCTATGCTTGCATGTGGGCCTCCTTATGCGGATGCCTTATGTCTGCTTCCATGGAAATAGGTACCCTCACCCAGTGGTGAATTTAACACCCCTCAAATACAACAGTAGCAGTATTGGGGTGACTATAAAACTCTACATTTCCTTAATTGTCTTTTGCATATTTTCTCTCCAGTGGTGATGTTTGTGCTTGATTGGTCTGTGCTGTGCTTGAAGTTCTTTGCAGAGCTGTGTCTTTGCTCTGCTTTTCACTGTTCCTCCCTCAGCACCTCAGAAATTTGGCCTCCCAGTCTTTAGTTTCTTCACTTCTTGTAGGGACTCAGTGATTTTCCTATTTCCATGGACACCCCTCCTTGGAAAGCTGTGACTGGTCTGTGAATGGTTGCCACGTTCACTAGTGAGTTGGGAGGGGAAGGTTCAGCCGTGTGAAACCATGCTAGTTCAGCTATGAGCTGCAGTCCTTGCGGTGACTTTGTACGGTTTTTAGGGGTGAGGATGGGCTGTCTTGCGCAGCCTCTTGTGCAATGCAACCATCTTCTGCCCACCTTTGTCATGAAAATAATGAACAAGGGTGGCAGGTTGCCAGTGGCCACCTGGGAGGCTCTTAGCAAGCAACTGCTCATGCAGTTGAGATGGAAATGCAGGTGGTCTTTCAGGAGGTCAGAGGGATGTCCTATAAAAAATGCAAACTGGCTGTGTTGCACTGAAAACGTGTTTGAGATGTGGGGTAGTTCAGTTTGTCTTGCCACAATGCTTATAGATTCAGCTGGGCTCTTAAACTCTTGTTAGGTGGGACACAGAGAGGTGGAAACTGTCCTGTGCTGTGGGGTTGTTAGCCCAGCCAAAGTTTTGGGATTTTTCCATAGTATATGCAGTGGTTCTGGTTGTTTCAGATGGCTTCAGAGGGAAACTGGACATGCTTGTGGAAGAAAGGTGCATTGTACTACCCGCTTAGAAACCATGTTTGTCTCAAGGAAACCCCTAAACCAGAAATAGTTGGATGGTGGGAAATTAACTGGGGAGGAGAGGGTCATACATGGTTGCCGCCTTCTGATGGGTGTTTCTAGGCATTCAGGAGAAGGCAAAGCACCCGCAGCCTGATCTGGCCATCACTGGATCCATGGGAGAGAGGTGGGTGCCTCTAGGATGAGATTTAGTTGGCCGACGTTGGTTTTGGAATGAGAACTGGCCTGTGGTGCCTAAATTTCTGTGGGGATATGGATTTTGGTGACTCTCCCAAGGCCATGCAGGAGGTGTGTGGTTAATCAGGCTCCCCTCCCCACCCGGGTTTGGTGTGGTAACTGCTAAACCATTTCAGCTCTCTGTTCCCTTGCAAAGTCATGAATGTATCTGTGCACTATAAATAAGGCGGTTAAGCAATTTGCCACAAATATGTTCTCCTTCAGTGAAGCCTGGGAAAAATCTGTGCTTCTGGTGCCACAGGTTTCGTGTCTTTTATCCCCTTTATTTCCCATAGCCAAACATCCCAGGAGGCTGGTAACAGCTGGAACAGTTGCATTTTTATAGTGTCAGTGCATGAGCACTTTAAAGCCATTGAGTGGCTCACAGATAATGATTTTATTTGCCATCCTGGGCTTGTTTATACATCACCGTATTGTAGGCTAGCCAGCCTTGACTCTTTCATTAAGAAAGAGCACTGGGCCTAAGTACCAATAATTGGAAAGAGAGCTGATATGTAAAATAGGCCTACCGCCAAATTTGTCATCTTGCAGGGAGCTCTGTGAACTGCTGGCACCTGGGGTTTTCCAGTTCTCCAGCAGAGCCAGGACTTTGTTCTTGGAGCGTGTGACCAGATCGGCTTTGTGATAATCGCTTCTCAAGTGGGCACAATCATCGTTGCCGTGTATTAAGAGAGACTTTGCATTTCTCTATCTGCGTTTTAATCGGCGGATCTCCAGGCAATTGAGAGAGGTCGGCAAGAGGTGTCCTCTGCTCCTCAGCAGTAGGGCTCTTCTGATGGATGAGAAGATTTGTGTATGGTCCTGTTATGTGCAGGAATGGGGTTGGGTCCTTTGGGCTGGTCTCATCGCTGGGTCACGCTGCCTCTGCTCTGGATGCCCCCCTGTCAGATTCCTAGAAGCGAACAAAGTCCGTTAAAAAAAAACATTTTGGAAACTTACAGTCCCTTCAAAATCTTTGTGATAAAACAAAGCAAAAGAAAACACTGATGCTGTGATAAATGAGTACTCTGACATTATTTTTACAGACCTTGTAAAAGTAATTTCCTGATAAAGTCTGCAGATAAAACACATTAGAGGAGTTAGAGAGAAATGAACTGACAGGGAGGGAAGGCTGCAGCTCTCATACTGCCTCGCCCAGGGTCTTGAAGCCTCTCTATTTGGGTTTAGAAAGGAGAGATCTGGGTGATTTTTTTTTTTTTCAAACAGGTGCTGTTCTGAGTTTAGCTGTGAAGCATGTGAATGAACATGCCGTGGGGCCAGTCAGTCTCTCTGTGTTAACACGTGACAGGGTAGGTCATGGGTAAAAGTAGTATGAAGCACAGAAGGACTTACTGCATCCATAACTAACATCTGTAACACTAACATAATTAATATGTGTTACCAAATTGTGGAGAAGATTTTGCCATCCTGGTGATATTGCTCCCTGCAAGGGCTAGACATTATATATGGTATTGCCTAAAAATTCCTGCTTCCATGCTCTGTGCAATGACTCCTTCCCCTAAGAGTACCAAGGAAGGCTGAAAAAAGGAGGTACTTGGCCGGACTCACCCAGCAGATTAGGGTAAAAAGCAGGAATAAAACCTGAAATGGAATTATCTGAGCAGAAAAGAGCGTAGAGCTGACCTGGAAGAGTCCTGTCCATGTCAGATGGCCTTGTGTGAAGATGTCCTTGGGGTTGTTGAGCAGCCATCCCCACTCCACAAGTGCAGGTGGATGCAGAAGCAGGGAGCAGCCAGGCAGAGGGGATGCACTTCGAGCTTTTCCAGTCAGACATTGCTGGCAATTAGTGGAACTGGCGTTAGTTGTGCTCAGCGTAGAACGTTGCTTAAGCATCAGAGTAATTTGAAGCCTGGGATGGATAGCCATATCTGCCCATCTACTCATGGACTAAGATACTTTATTTTAGAGGCTCAGCCTTTGAAATCTCTGAACCTGACTCTTTAAAACATTAACTCTGCAGGGTTGCAGACATTGAGGCTAAAAAATTTCCCTGATCATCTAAGCTGCCTGCCTGCATGATAGACGTGAAGGGAACTCATAGCACTTTTTGCACAAAGCTCCTAGTTTGTGGTTAAGCTGTGGCTTATCGCTCAATCAAGAATGAACAAACCCCTCATTTTGGGTCAAATATCTCAGAGGCAGCTTCTGTGCCTGGAGGTTTGTGCAATGATTGCAAGAAACAAAACAAGGCCTATCCATTATTCTACATGGAAGCAGTCTGTTTTCAGGCTGTAATCATGGGGTTGGGTTATTTCTTGTCTTGCTGAGTTGAAAAGTCATCTGGTAGCCACTTTATCATGGGAGTAAATGTTGATTTACATCTTCATATTTAAGCAGGTTAATTGAGTTTAAGGCAAGGTGTCAGACTTTAAACTGGATGCAGCAGTGTGCAAAGTGTTTAACAGTGATGACAGCTCAGTGCTCCTCTCTGAACTCCCAGGCAAACCTTTACCCTCCACCAGCTCTGTCTCAAAAACCCAATTCTGATCCAGTTTTTTTCTCTTTGCTGGCTCCATAGACAGCAAATGTCTGGCTCCGTAGATAGCAAATAAAACCTATGTCTTCCCCTTTTAATAATGAGAGATTCCCATTGCACAACATAATTTTCTGGTCCTGAAAATTGGCGACCTGTAGCAATAATTGCAATAAATTAACCCTGCCGTTTTCTTCATAAAACTGTCTGGGGAGGTTTCTTAATTCAGTTTGTCATGAGTCACTTTAATTACATCATGACCATGCTGATGAATGTTTGGGCAGGTAAGGGTCTTACAGAGTTTGCCTGATAAATGCTTATTGCAAAGAGCTCATTGCTAGACAGTAAATATTTTTGCTCTGGGGATGAAACTGGGATGGCAAGATTGCTTGGGAGCAAAATGAAAACAATCAGATTTGGCTGATTTTCTGTAAGTGAAAGAAGATTTATTTTTAATTATTGCTGTGTGTGTTTCTGCAATGGTTTGAGGTCTCAGCTCTGCTCTACTCAGTGCGGTTATAAAAAAAAGTAAAATAAAGACTATTAATGTCAAGTTCTTCACTGTGGGGTAGGAGTAGGTGATGCGGATGGGGGAGGCATGATGCAGAGCCCCAAATCTGAAATGGGGCAAGGGCCAGTGCAGGGAGCAAGAAGGCAGTAATGGTCTGGTGAGGTGTGCTTGGGGGATTTGGGGGAATGCAGCTGTAGCCTTGAGGGAAGAGGGAGGCATGGAGACCTTGGCTGAGATTTCTTAGTGGAGGGATGCTGAGGAAGGAGCGAAGGGCTTGCAGGACTGAAACAGAGGCACCCTAGCCCCAAAGGTTGGAGTGTTTGCTCTGCACACTGCTCAGCCAAGGGAAGCAACTTCTAATGCTATTACCAGGGCACTGCTGTAATTAACAGTACTGGGTGACCCCATGTTGGGGCATGAGCAAGGCCATTGTCCCTTGTGATAGCAGACAAGCAGCCACCTCACTTGCAGCAGGAGAGATGCCAAATACAAAACGCAAGAGCACAAGTGCCTGTGGCAGTATGAGGGGTTTGTTCCCCCACTGCTGTGAAAGCAGAGTAATTTCTGATCTCAGCGTATTGGCTGCTAAAGTCCCAAACTCTGCTGGAAGCGCAGTAAGAGCCAGTCAAACTGGATAAAGACAGATCTTTAAAATGAGCTTTCTGTTTTTCCTTGTGTCAATGTTTATACTGGTTGCTATTCTCACCCTGAACTCTTTGCCACAACTTTTGCCTTCTTTGGCTGTGTTATAGGCTGTTTTTTTTTTTTCTTTTTTACTTTTGAGCAGATGAGGGATCCAGCATTGAGGACGCAGACTTCAACTGGGACGAGTTTCTGGAGGAAACAGGAGCTAGTGCTGCTCCCCACACCTCCTTCAAACACGTACGTGCTTCGTCTGAGCCTTGCGGCTGTTGCGCGCGTTCCCTCTCTTGGCTTTCAGGGGGTCCCCGGAGAGATGAAGTGGGGTCTGACCACTCTGGGGAGAAATCTTCCATCCATGCACATGGGAATAGCACCCCAGATGGTTTTAGGTGACCTTGGCATGTTTGCAGTCACAGCTCAGAGCGCTGTGTCTATGCCTCTTCCTTATCCTCTGCCTTTGGTTCCAATTTTCCATTTTTGAGGGCTTGTATTGGTCTCCTTCTGCTTATGATGCACTTTTTTTTTTGTCTTCAGCAATTTTTCCTTCTTCATTAGTTGTCCATCGCAGCCTGTAGAGATTCCTCTCACAAAAGTGCCTTATTTCTCAAAGCTGTCCTCTTAATGTGTGACTTACTGTCTAGCAGCGTCACTCAGCGCTAGAGTCCAGCATGGCCTGTAGGAAACCATCTCTCAGCCTCCTGCCTGGAGATGCTGTTTCAGGAGTGTGAGAACCAGGTACTTGGGTAGGTGATGCTTTTCCTGGATGAACATGGATCATATAGGCAGCCATGGTCGTTACAGCATCGTCTGTGGCTCCGGTCTGTGCGCGTGCAAGTAGTATTTGAAGTTTCTGAAATCTTAACTGATGAAGAATATCAGAGCATGGTTTGAAGGAAGGACTGTCTCCAAGCGGAGCCCACCACAGCTGAGGATATTGTTGTTTGGGACCAGCTTCTGCATCCACCACCGGTTGTTTAACCTCTTCCGTTCAGCTCCATGTGTGTGATGTCACGTGGGGACATGGGACAGAAATTAAGCTGATGTAGGAGTTCTTCATCACAGTCAAGGGTGTGCACGCCTGACCACATTGGTGGATTTCACCAGGATGCCTTTGTCATTCACCTACAAGAGTGTGCTGTCAGACAGGACCTCCTGGGAAGGTGTTTTGATGCCTTCAACCGAGTCAAGCCACCACAAATCATGGTGGTTCTCTGTCCTCAGCAGCAAGTCCCGTAAGGATAGACCTTCTCATCCTCCTACCATGGGTTGAAGGTAGCAGCCTGTTCTGCTGCAGCTGCTCATCAGTTGTGCTGGCTCTTCTCCCATCTTCACTTGGCTGGTCTGCATGCTCTGGAGGATGGGGACATCTTCGTCAGGAAGAGAGGGGTTTTACCTGGGATGCTCCGGGTTGCCTTACACAGAGTCTGCTGGCAGAGGTGTCCTTTGGGAGCGGTGTAGTTGTGCTGCAGTGAGAAGGAAGCTTTCCTGAAGAACCTGTTGCTACTTTAAGGCAAATCTTTGTTTGGATGACTGCTGTCATGCCATTAAACCACCTTTGTCTCTAGGTGATTTCTTGGCTTGTTTTGAAGGGATAAGGAACTGCAGTGATGAAAAAAACTCTCTTCTGTCTACAGCTGAAAAAATACAATCCTCCATTCCTTATTTTCCTTCCATTTTAACAACAGTGGAGTATTGCAGGATGAAGGACCATAATTCTCTATACCAGAGAATCAAAGGGCAATGCTTATTGTAGAACTTGTCCTTGATCCAGCAGCTCTTTGGAGAGAGCATCTTGTTGCAGGTTTCTGCTCCAGGCCTGAACCCAAATATCATATGCAGGTGAAAGTTTTGTTTTTCATGAAGACCTTAAGGGTGCTTTTAGGTCCATGGAGATGCCAGCCTCATCCTGCTGATGGTGCTGGTTGCAGGATCTTTTAGCATTTCAATCCTGGGACTGTTGATGTGGGAAAACTTAATGCTGGGAACAGTCCTTGATGACTATGCTTCACAACCTGAAACTTGATCCTCAAAAAACCCTGGGTTGGCCAGGAACCTGAAAGTCAGCAGAGAAGATCACATTATCTGCCTGATTCCACTTTTCATGTGATTTCCAGTCACAAGTCCCTTGCCTCCAGAATACCACTGTGGTCTTTACTTACGGTGAGCCCAAGGAGAAAAACTACAAATGAACGTGTATCCTGGATTATTTATGAGGACCCTTAGCATCACAAGACCTAAGATCCTATCTTATGACTAAGTAAAGTATTAAATGTCACAGGACACCTTCAATCCTAAATGATCTCCAATTGTCCCTTACAACCTCAATTACTCTGTGACTCTGTGGTATGAGTGAGGGAGTGCTGCTGATATGCCAGAGGAGTTTTTCCTCTGCAGTTTGGCATCCCCAAGTCTATGAATTCCTCAGCTGGGCAAGTGGACCATATTGTGTTTATCTTTGTGAGTAAAAGAGGCATTTTAACCTGTCATTTAAATGAGAAGTTAATCAGAGACAGGCTTAAACCAGATTTATACTCGCGGTGGTTTCGGGAGGAGATAAAGTACTAAAAAACCTGTAAGAACCTTCCTTAAGCATCTCATAGGGAGTAAGAGGCTGCATTTTGGATGGTCTTCTGAAGACAAGGCTGGCACCTGAACCAGTGGACTGTCATCCACCTCGTCTTTATCAAGAACAGCTAGAGTCGTCCCATGGCTGTAGCCATTATGATGTACCTAGAGCAGGACCTAGTGTGTGACAGAAGTCCCTGCAGTGTCCTATCCTAACTCGTGTCCTATCCTAGAGCTGCTCTTTAATGGCAGTATTATCTTGCTTAGCTGGGGAGGTGTTCTCCCTGTAAAGAAAAAAGAAGTAACACCATGCCTTTCTCATTTTGTAAGGTTGAAATCAGCCTTCAAAGCAGTTTCCAACCAGGAATGAAATTAGAAGTGGCCAACAAGAGCAATCCGGACACATACTGGGTGGCTACGATCATTACAACATGTGGACAGCTCTTACTGCTTCGTTACTGTGGCTATGGAGACGACCGCAGGGCGGATTTCTGGTGTGACGTGATGACGGCAGATCTTCACCCCGTTGGCTGGTGTACGCAGAATAACAAGGTCCTGATGCCTCCAGATGGTGAGTTCTGTGTGTTGTGTTAGGGTCGTGGTTTAGTATGGGGCTGGTGGTTGACCTGCAGACTGGCAGTCTATCCGGAATGGGTGCTCCGGATCCTCAACTTGTGTTGGGTGATGCGGTCAGGGTCAGGTCCCCATGGGTGAAAGGGGGATTCAGTTTGCCAGTCGGCCTCTAGCAAAGGCGCTTTTGCTCTAGTTGGTAACAACAGAAGGCGCTTCTGTAGGAAGCTGTCTTAACAAGGAAACTTACTGCTGAATTGCAAAGCTGTGATTTTCAGTTAGAGGAGAAAATTGTCCTGTTCTTGTAGGAAGGAGGCATGAAATTCAGTAAGAATAAACTAAAATAAGCAAGATCAGTTTGAGTGTAACCAAAACCACAAGTTGGCTTGTGCACTCAAGTGACTTTGCCTGAAAGTTTTAAACCTTCCATTGGCAGTTCCTTGCAACTTTTAATGCCGATGGTAGATACACACCATTAAAGATAGCAAAATTTGGTCATCCTAGGTTCAGGCAAGTCCTGATTATCAGCTCTTAGGTGCAAAAAAGCTGATGCAAGAGCTGTGGATTACTGAGTGGCCCATGTGGAACAATTTGCTAATAATACATTTTGAGCCCCATTGTTAAGAAAAATGTGAGTTTTTTTGGCTGGGTACAGCAATGGAACAGCTGTGTATCCTTATCACTACATAGTTCTGAACAGAGGTGTACTTGTCACTGCTACTTATACGTATTCCTGCCATGTATCCCATTTGTTCTGGACCAGGGGAAGAAGAGATTAATGTTTAGCCTTCAGCTTGCGCATGCACTTAAGAAATGGCCCATTTAAGAATTCTGCCACTGAAGTTAATTCTTTTACTTTCTGTTTCATGTGGCCATTGAAAAAAGTGTATGTGTCATGCGTGATTTCTCCTGGTGTACGTGTTGCCAGACCTCCCACTGAAGTGAGCTGTAGACACGGTCTTTGATTCAGAGCTGACATTCTTGCCCTGCGTATGCCGAACTCTGAGCTGAACTTATGATTTTGTTCTGGTCTGTGTCTTTTGAATAAACAGGGGACTGATTGCTTAAAAAAAGAATTCTTGAAGCCAAACATGGTTGAGAAATCTGTTGGTTTAGCACTACTGAGTCAAGCTGATGTGAGTGGGGTTAGGTATTTTATTTTACTGGTCTCTTAAACTACCTTTTATTACGTGGATTATAATCAGTGTTACCAGAAAGGTGTATAGTGCTGTAAACTAAATCTCAAAATGCCAGGGTCGAGAGGTAAGAGATCTTATTGACTGTTGTAATAGAAAATAATGATTGTTTTATAACTGGAGGCAACTGCTTTTCATGGAAATGTTGGAATCTGCTTTTTGGGTTGTGGCCACTTCGGGTGAGTTGTCTTGCTTGAATGACGGCAAATGTGCAGTGCGTCATACCTCCTTTCTTCTCTGGCTGAGTGATGTAACTGTATGGTAGCGTCTTAAATATGGGCAACTGCCCTGTTTTGGTGTCCCTCCCCCATGTTCTCAGTGAATAAACTCTACTGAATACGTCTTAGTATAGTTTTCAAAAAGAATAAATTAAATGCGTGGGTTGTAATTTCAGAAGAGATTGAAGCGTTTAAGAGCTTGAGTTGTGTTTTGGAATGAGGCCTCTAATATACCCAGGAGGATTTGAGCCCTCAGGACTTCTCTCACTGGGAAATCCTGTATGTGCTCATAAATCACAGATCTCCTCTGGGTGTTTGCCCCCAGGGTTCAGCCTGTGGTCAGAGGTGGGTTTTCAAAAAATCACGGCTCTCAGTGGGACGCCACAGGGAGGAAGCTGAATTTGCAAGCGTGACGCTTGTTTTCCGTAGGGAGAACTGAGCTCTGACCAGCTTTTAAAAGTAGTTTGTGAGGACTAGAATAACTGTATGCAAAATCACAGATCTCCTCTGGGTGTTTGCCCCCAGGGTTCAGCCTGTGGTCAGAGGTGGGTTTTCAAAAAATCACGGCTCTCAGTGGGACGCCACAGGGAGGAAGCTGAATTTGCAAGCGTGACGCTTGTTTTCCGTAGGGAGAACTGAGCTCTGACCAGCTTTTAAAAGTAGTTTGTGAGGACTAGAATAACTGTATGCAGTTTGTGGAGTTTGTCCCGTGCTTAATTGCTTTGCTGATCAGTGACTGTATCTTAACGAGCCAAACTTCATTGCAGTGCAGAGAGGTCTGTCTGGTGAAGCTTACGGGATCGGATCTTGCATTGGCAAAAGAGAAAGTGGTGTTGTCTGTGAACCCCATGGAGGTGTTGATAGGAGGAAGATCATTAAAAAAAAAAAATATGGCCAGGGCCAGTTACCTGTCATTAGGGTTTGCTTTTAATCAGGAGCTGAAGGCTTGGGTTAAAAAGCAGATCTGCCAAGAAGGACTTGTTTAACGGGCAGAATACCAGCACTGGGACAATGCTTTGTTTCTGCTTACGAATCAGATTGGGCTGATCAGTGCTCGTCTTACAAATGTGATGCCACAGAAGAATGGTACAGAGTGATAGGACAAAGAATTTCATTAGATGGGGGAGAGATGTGAAAGAACGGGCTGGTTCAGTTTAGGAAATCAATAGGGCTTGATTTAATGTTCAGCGCACACACAGCTTTTAAGGGGTGGCTGCCAAATAATTATTGTTTATGATCCCAATAGGAGGAAGTAATTTAATTTACGGACTGTTACATGATTATTTATTGGGTGACGTTAGTGTTGCATCATTGTGTCTGCGAGTATAATGTCAAGTCATGTTATGTCCTCCCATGACATTATGGTGCAGCGCACCGGAGTAGGACTGCTCAAGCCAAGTACTTGCGTGTGCAATAAAATGTATTGGCTTGTGAAAGGACGGTGTGAGTGTGTGTGTGCCTGTAAGCTTCACCCTCCACCCCCTCCTTCCCTGCAGGAAATCAAAGGAGTAAAATTGTAGTTACTTCAAGCTTTGCCATTAATTATATTTTTCTCATTACAAATCGGTGTGTAATTTGAATTGCAAACTCAACTATCCTGGCAGAATAGATCTGTTTACCATTCAAAGCAAAATGAAAATTATTTAAATTAGTTAATATAGAACTCATTTGAATGAATCGGATGTTTATTCATGAACTAGCTGAGGCAAGTGTGAAGCTGTCCTTATGGTCTGTAGCTTTGGCACTGATCAGCTCTAAAGTCACGTCCTGGGACAGAGATTTCTTTTTTTTTATTGCATATTAGCTGTGGTGTAGAGCAGTGGGTAGCTACTGCCTGATGGAGCTGAGTGTGAAATTTTCATCCTTTCTGACGATGCCCCTCAGCAATTGTAATTCAGATGAGGAAGGACAACCTGTTTCAAAGTTCATTGGCAGCGGCAGGACTGTGTTTGTATGGTAGGATTTGGTTTCTGTACTATAGGAGTGGGACGTGACATAGATTTTCCAGCAGTTAGTTAAAATTTATCCCTGCTATTAGCCTGCGTGGAAACAGGGACAGCTTTTATCCCCTCCTATGTCTTAATCAAGCACTGTCCTCCTCCTCCTCAGTACAAAGCTGATGTGGTTGTTTTCCAACATCCTCCATCCCTTGGGATGTTTTACCCATTGAGCATTAAAAATTAAAGTCTAACTGAACTTTCCCTCACAAGCAATTCCTTTACCTGTGAAAGGAAAAGAGATCTCCTGCCTCCTTTAGCCTGTTATTTCCATGTGCTGTTTTCCTTTGTTGATGGTTCATGAACACATTTACCATCGAGTAGAAGAGCAGCGTGGAGAACCTGACAAGCGTAGTAGCTAAATTATGCATTGTGAACCACACAGAGAGCAGGAACGTCTTTTGATTGACACTTGGGTGTTTTTGTACAGATTGCAGATTTACAGCTGAGCCAACAGAGCCGAATCTCTCCTGGCACTATCTTAATGCATTCTGGGATGCGCTAAAGACACTGGACGACAAGATTATTGTGTACACTTGTAATTGCCGTGGTGGTTCTGCTTTAATGTTATTGACAGATGGAAATTCAAAGAGGGCATTTTTGTGTGCAGATTTGTGCAGTGAACTTGACTGCTCGCCGTGTAAACCAGAAGACAGAGGAGGCTGGAGATGTAAAGTAATAGTGTGGAGAGAACCAAGTCTATATTTTGATTTTACAATGAGTTGGTACAGATGGGAAGAGGTCTGAACACCATCTATACCTGGATTTTGTGATCAAGATGATCAGTCGTACTGCCATTATAGGTAGGAAAGCAGCCTTCACTTCTCTGTTACACCAACATATGGAAGATGAGTGCTGAAATGACCCATCCTGGGGTGAAGCGTCTCCCTCATGAATGGTGCTGAGCTTGATCAAGTGAAATAGGCCACTAAGAGTGGTGGGCATAAGGCATTTTACCTGCCCAGACTTTCTGCGTAGGCAAACATCATCATTTATTCACTATTTGAAACAGATCTTTGTGTTTCACTCATGTCAGTTTAAGTTTTACCCTCGATCCAGGCCAAAGAAGGGGGATTTCACTCGGATTCTAAGCTCTGGATCTGATTCTGGGCAGGGTATGGATGAAAAAGGAACTAAAACTTGTGCCATAGCAAACCAGGTTGTCTTCAAATAACTTTTCTGCAGAGTCAAAGGCTGGTCTGACGTGTTTCACAGCCATGAATAGATAGATTGAAGAAGTTAACTTTGAGCCAACTTTTCCATTTTGTTAGTGCTCAGGTGAAATCATCAATGGATGTGGTGGTTAGAACAGGTGCTGGGGCTGGGCTACAGCAGAAAGTGGTGGGATTGAGAGAAAATGGGACGCAGGCTGGGAACATGAACAGTAAGGGGAGATGGTGGGACAGCACCACAGAGAAGAGCAAGCCTTGAGCAGTCACTTTCTGCTTGGGGTGGGTTTTTGGTTCAAGATTCCCTAGGTGCCCAGACCTTTTGAGGTGTACAGCTGGGCGTGGTGGTGGAGATGAGGCCCATACGCTTGACTTCCAGCATCGTTCTTGGAGGTCACTTGTGTTCACAAACCTTGTCCAC